TTTTCCCTGACAGCTGAATAATATTTTGTCTGGGTATAGGACTGTTGGATCATTTTTCTTTATAGTCTGTACATTGTTCCACTGTCTTCTACATTCCAGAGTAGTAGATGAGAATTCCTTAGCTGGCCTGAATCTCTTGCCTTTGAATGTAAGTTACTCTTTCTGTCAGGAGGCTTGTATAATTTTCTGTTTACACTTGAAATTCAAGTATTTCCTGGATTCCTTTCCTGGATTTAATGAGACTTTTAATCTGCAGGCTTAAATGTTGCTTCAGCTCAGTATAATAAAAAAAAATTTAGTGCTATATTCATTTAATTATAACATCTCCTTCACACCCCTCCCCCTATTCTTCTTTTTTTAAAATCCCTTCTGAAATTCCTGTTATCCTCGTGTTAGGTTGTTGGATCTGCCCTCCAAGCCTCTTATTTCTTCCCTCATTATTTCTCTCTGTGTGTCTTTTCTACACGTAGTAAGACATTTTGTTCACTTGGTCTTCCAGATCATTAATTTGATTGTCAACTAAGAAAAACAGATTTTTTTAGTTATTCTGCAGAAATTTTTTTCTTTTTTTTTTTTTTTTGGTGAGGAAGATTGGCCCTGAGCTAATATCTGTTGCCAGTCTTCCTCTTTTTGCTTGAGGAAGATTGGCCCTGAGCTAACATCTTTGCCCATCTTCCTCTATTTTGTATGTAGGGCGCCACCACAGCATGGCTTGATGAATGGTGTGTAGGTCCATGCCCAGGTTCTGAACCCATGAACCCTGCGCCGCCGAAGCACAGCACGTGAACTTAACTACTGCATCACCAGGCCAGCCCTGGAAATTTTTAAATTTAAAATTTAAAATCCGTGGTTTTAGTTAAGAAAGTCTTTCTTGCTGCCCTCTCCTGATTTCTCGTTGCTTTTGCTGTTGAAGCTCTCTTCCAATTTTTTTCCTCATTTCTGCTTCAGGGACACCTGTCTCTTATAGTTGTCCTGTATGATCATCTCTCAGGTGATCTCGTCTCCTAAGTTAGGTATTGTTTTCAAAGTGCCTGCTCATTCACTTATGTTCTTTCGACTCCCACATAGCTTTTGATAGTCTCTATGGCGTTAACAAAGCTGAGAGCAGTGCAAGGTACAGCAGTTTCTGCCCTGGCGTTCTGACTGGCCAAGAACAAACAGCAAGTGGCCCCGCTCCCTGGGCAGAAGCAGCATTCTTCTCCAGATGCTGATCTTTGAAGCAGCCTGGGCTACCAGTGTAGCCCCTATCTTTCTCCGGCCCCAATTTCTAATTCTGATCCTACAGACTATACCCCCTCCCCGTCCACGGGCTGGTGGGTCAGCCTGCCTGAGGTGAAGAGCTGTCCTGGGAGTGCGGGTTGCTCACCAGAACTCCTCAGGGAATAACAAGAGCCTGGTCTTCACAGAAGCCTCAAGGGGAGACACACCCTTTGTTCTGCTGCCGATCCCTTGCCTTTACTCACTAACGAGATGAAGTCCTATACTTGCTCTCTCTCTCCTGGAGATTTCTGGAGAACCTAAGGCCTCAGATGCACTCTCTAAATTTTGCCAGTTCTGCTGCTTTTACACACCCGTAGTATCCAAGATTTGGTTTAAAGAGACCCAAGTGAAGTGGACCCTCATAGTGTTTGAATAATCCTGATGGAGGATGGAGTTGCCAGAGGTATCTGTAGCTGTAAAACTCCCTGCATCCTGTGCTCAGTCATCTCGCTCCAAGCATCCTCTCTGACCACTTATTCTACCTTACTGTGAGGCCTGAGACATCCCCCTCCTTGCCCTTATTGGGGGAAAACCCTACTTGGAATAACTTAGTTATACTGTAAAGTGTTGAGTTAACTATTGCTGTTACAAACCGCAGCCAGTGCTCAGTAGTTTAACACAATAATCGTGTATTTGCTCATGGGCAGCTCATTTAGGCTGTGCTCTGCCAGGTGGTTCTTCTGGTTTCAGCTGGACTCACTTGCTTGGGTCTTGACTGCCTGGGGATGTGTGATCCATGCTGGGCTTGGCGGTCATTGCTGTGCTCCACATATCTCCTACTCTCCTCCTGGGATCCAAGGGCTAGCACTGTGTGATCTTCTCATGGGGACGCCAGAGGTGCAAGAGAGCAAGCAGAAACACGTAATGCCTCTTGAAGCTTAGACTTGAAACCAGCACGCAGCCACTTCTGCCGCATTCTTCTGGCCACATCACGTCACATGACAGAATCCAAAGTCTAGAGGCAGGAAAGGAGGCTGTGCCCACAGTGTGGGTGTGGGAGGAGGAGGGTGTGGCGCTACAAATTACATGGTAAAGGATGTGGCCACGTGGAGGGCTGAAGACTTGGGGCCATGAACTCAACCTCCTTCCACTATTAAGGACTACAATGCAATGTTTCCAAGTCAGAATGCTGCCTCAAAGGAGAGAGCCAGGAGTTTAGCTTGGAGGTAGTGGGGAAGCTTTTGCAGAGGAGATGACATTGGATCTGGACCCTAGGATGACTTGGAGTTTGCCAAGTAGACAAGGATGAGTGAAAGGAGGAATAATCAATGAAGACAGAAGGAGCAGTCAGAGTAGAGGCCCAGAAGCCTGCAGATGAGTGGGGCATCTGGGGATGGAAGGGCTGTCCCGTGTGTTTGGATCATTAGAAACACTCCTTCACCATCTTTTGCTTCATAGCCATGCTCTTTCCAGTGAGCTGTCAGAGCCTACAAAAAGTTGTGAGTTCAGGTGTTGTGCCCAGAGGAGTTAGCCTATTGTGTGCTCTTCAGAACATGCTGCATAGGTGGCTGGCTGCCTTCTCTATATCTCAAAAAATATCATCTTGCTTAAATGAGGTGAAGGATTTAGCACATAGGTATTAAATTACTACTGGCACTAGCATTCCTTCAATATGTCCCTGCCACTCAGCGTGTTCTGCCATTTGTGCCACAGCTGAAAAAATCAACAATGATAATAACATTTGTTTGCTTTCAGAAGAGATTTAGACCTTACAAAATGTCACCTCCTCTGTGGAGCCCTCCTTGTTACATTCTCCCTGCTCCTCCCACCAGATTACATCAGGGACTCCTGTTGAAGGTTCTCATTTCTCTCTCTAACTTCCTTCAGAACATTTTTGGCTATTTGTTAGTATATGATTTTAGATGTGATTATTTGATCAATTTTTGTTTCCTCAGTTAAACTGCCAGATTCTATGAGAGCAGAGGACCAGGTCTTTTGCATACCACCGGTTCCCCAGGGTCGAGCATGGTGCCGGGGTCATAGTAACTGAATACTAAATATTTATTGAGTGAGTGAGTGAGTGAGTAAATCTATGTGAGTGACTTAATGAGATGCACCTGGACTGTTGGCTCTCTGAGGTAGGTTTATCTGTAAAGCTGCATGAGCATCGTAGGTTTACTGTTCACCTGTGGTGAGGTGGACAAGCCATAGTCACTCTTTAGTGCTTCCATTCAATCATTACGCATTGTAGCTTGACATATGGCTGACTGTGGACTAGGTACTGGTGACACAGAGACGATTAGGGCTGGTTTTGCTCTGAAGGAGTTGCTGGTTTGGTGGGAGAGATGGGAAAGTGCGGGGGCAAAGACAGTTACTATGGTAAGTGTTAAGATAAGGATATGTTGACTGGAACTCGGAGAAGAGGCTTTGAACTCAGCCTGCCCTCCACTGAGGCTTCATGAAAAAAGACAACATGAGGTGAGCCGTGAAGGCTAACTAGGAGTTAGATGCAATACAGGAAAGAACATTCCGGGCAGAATGAAGCAAAGGGTTCAGTGCACAGGAAAGTCAGAAATCAAGGCCCACTATGGGAATCTTCAAGGAATTCAGTTTTGCAGAGTAGAGAAAGCAAGGGTGGGAACTGGAGGTCAGCATGGTCCTGTCCCAAAGGGTCACTGAAGGGTTGGACATTTTCCTGAACGTAGTGCGGACCAATTGAAGGGTTTTAATCAGGAGTTGATATCATCAGATTTTATTTTATAAAGTTTGCTCTGGACACAATATGGAGAACAGATTGGAAGGCAATAGGACTATTGGGAAGATATATAAAGAAGCAGTTAATTACACAGTGGGATTAGGGCTGTGGTAGGAGATACGCTGTATGCTCGGGGGCTCAGAGGAGGAGTGCTCACCCAGAACTGGGGACTCAGCCTAGGGTAAAGGGAGTGTTTGAGTTATCAGGGTGAATAAACAGGGAAGAATTTTCCAAATAGCAGCCGGGCAAAGGCACAGAAATGTGCAAGAACATGATTTTTTTCAGAGAACTGCAAGTGATTTTTTATTGCTAGAGTGTAGAATACTAAGGGTGAGTTGATGAGAAATGAAGCTTGAGAAGAATACACCTTCCAGCATTCAAATCTCCCTCCTATGAAATATTGCTTTAGACTGGAGTGACCATATCTATTTCAGGCACTTTTTGAAAACTTTTTTATCATAGAGAATTTTGAACATGTCCACAACAGTAGCATAATGAACACCATTCAACCCATCACTCAGTCCCACAGCCACCAACCCATGGCCAATACTACCCCATCCATAACGCCTTTCACCTCCCCTTCTCTTGTTACTTTGAAGCAAATCCAAGATATTATTTTATACATAAATATCTCAGTATGTATCTCTAAATGATAAGAAGCCTTTTTTGAAATATAACCACAATTACCCATATCATACCTAAAATTTAATAATAATGCTCAACATCATCAAATAGCTAGTCAGTGTTGTAAGTTCTAATTATCTCATGAATGTCTTATAAATATAGATATAAATACATATATTCACACACACTGTTTGATCAGGATCTAAATAAAGAGCTAAGACTCTTTTGAAAGTCAAAGAAAGTACTCTCCATCATTGACAGGTGTGAATGGGGACTTTTGATCTAAACAGGGATGTATAATTAGCTACTTAGGTTTATTCTCCTTCTTCGAAACTACTGCAGATACGTGGGCAGGTATTCGGCAAAATGTAAAGGAAGCCTATCTCATAGTGTTGGTTCTGCCTCTCTCCCATTTTCTCAGGTCTCTCTGCTCCCTAGTGTGCAAATGGACATACTCGGCGGAGAAAGGCTGGGATGACAGTTTCTGGAAGATGATTGGTTTGGAAGACTTTGTTGCAGATAATTACAGCAAAATAGGTAAAAAAATTAAAAACTCTGGAGAGTGATTATGTGTATGTATATATGAGGATATTGGTATTTTTTGTTTTTATATGAATTAACATACAGGAATGCAGCCCTGTTTTTCCAAGAGAAATGAGTAAGTTATGATGGATAGGCCATGACTAGTAGACCCTTGTGTTGAGGCCCATAGGAACTGAGTGGAGATTCAGGCTGTGAAGATCTGCACTGAAATCTAGAATCTTAGACACTGGACTAGATGGAGGAAGATATTTGCGTGGAGTAGCTGGGAATAGCATTATCAAGGGCTTTGCATGGATCATTTCCAGCAGTACTAGGAAAATGTTTTGTGAGTTAGGTTCGAGGAACCAGGACCATGAACAGAAAAAAATAATTTAAGATATCAAAATTAGAAGAATCCAGACTTGGAACATGAGCCTGTGGGTTCCTGACTAAGGCCATAGGGTGTCAGACTTCTTGTTTTATGAGGCACTGATGGGGTAGTAAAGGTGTGGGTGACTAGTAGGGGTTTACCTGGTGAAAAGAATTCAAATACTAGGTACATATAACGATAGCTGACATTTTAAAATTTAAGGTTTGCATGTTCATTTCACAGAAAGATATTTATTTCCTGTGGTTGCTACTTACAATTCTAGTAAGCTGTCATCAGGTAAGCAATTATACCTGATGAAATAGAAATAAATAAATTTTGCATTGTTTGGTGTTTAGGCTAGGATGTTGTGACAGTAAAATTTAAAAGTACAGTAGGTTAAACAAGATGGAAGGGTATTTCCTTTTTAGATAATAGAATAGAGGTAAATGACTCTAAGGGCAGGTCTGCCATTCTCACAACGTGGCCTCCAAGTTCGGGTCCAGGTTAGCTATTCCACTTCTCATCAGTTCCCAGCCAGTGAGTCGGAGGAATGAAAAGGACCAGAGGAATCCGTCCACATTCTTTTGGAGGGAGCATAACACAGAAAAGGGCCATGTCATTTCTGATCACATCCCACTGACTAGCACTTGTGTAAGGCCCCACTAGGCTGCAAGGGTGGCTGGGAAATGTAGGCATTGGCTGGGCAGCCATATGTCCATCCATGTGACCAGCTAAAACTTGAGAGTTTTGCCTTTTAATATTGGTGAACAATTAGCAATGTCTGCTACAATTTCTGACCACCCTTCATAACTGAGTCACATAGTAGGTTATTTCAGTACAGCCTTTCTCTGGTGAAGTCCTCATGACCACTCTATTCAAGTTCAAGAATATAAGGATAGAAACAGGAAAGATCCAAGTAGCATCTATGCTGGTGTGTTCTAGACAACATAGCTTGGTTATCTATGGTCTGTTGAACTACTAATTGCTAAATCTAGGGAAAAGAACAGTGCCAGGGTAGCATGCAGAAAGAGCCCTTGTGGAATTTCTGTGGCTCAGTTGAAACCCTCTCAGGACCTGAGCTGGTAGAGAAGGCGGGAGGAGCTTGGGACTAGGGAAAGAGAGGAAGAAAGCAAAGCAGCAGTTATTAGTCGTCATCTACATTCCAAGTCCCTTAGGTAGGTGATTTATTACATACATTATCTTGTTTGGCCTTTACAAGCCTGTCTGTATAGCTCTTCCTATTTTACGAATGGGAAAACAGATTCAGGTCCTTGTCCGCTATTATGTTGTAGAGTCAGTATTAGCACTAGGGTCTCTGACTCCATACTCTTCTGCTAAAGCCGGCTGCCTCCTTGGGATATACGAGATTGAGGGTGCTGATATCACTCTATGGTTGGCCTCCAGTGGGATTAGGCAGCAGTCCAGTATTTAGCACCCAAAGCCACCTTGAGCTAGATTGGAACAAGCGTCCACACCTGGACAGGAGGAGGGGTGTGATGGGATCTTGGTTGGTGAGTGGCTATAACTTCACAAGGTGGAAAACAGTATTAACACTTTGTCACATAGGGATTGGTTTTAAAACTCTGGGTGTTCACACCATTGGGGCCAGCAGCCAGGACAGTGACAGGAATAGGGTCAATCTTTTATTCTGCGGGCTGAGGGAACTGGCCAGAAGATGGTGTGTCAGGACTCCTGGCCACCAGGCTGGCGTTTTGGACAGTGCTTCAGATCCAGCAGGGGAAATGGGCAGCCAACAGGAAAGTGACAATAATTGAAAGCTTCTGGAGGGCAGGGGCCATATCCGCCTCACCCTTGAATATCTTGGCAGAGAAGATACTGATAAATATCTACTGATGGAATGAGTGGGACATAAGTACATTTGTTTGAACTGAAACAAATGGACGAAAGTTAAGAGAAAATTGCAGCAAATGGCTATCCCAGTGTCCTAGTCGGCTCTGACTGCCATACCAAAATACCACAGATTGAGTGACTTCAGCAACAGCCATTTACCTGGCCTCAGTCCACACGAGACTGTGAGCTCCTTGACGTCCAGATTTTCACTTATTTTCCTGTGTAGTCCTGGTCCTAGCACAAGGCATGGCACATTTTAGTAGCTAAATTACTATTTGATTAGTAAGTGGAAAATTAGTGACTGAGATGGCTGCTACTGGGATGTCAGCACTTTTTGCTTTTAAAGGCTGTAATGATATTTACTGATTTCAGCAGTATCTTTATGGCTTGGGTCCAACTTCAGCTCTGATCTTCTGATTATTTTAACATTTTTGTGCTCCCCCCACACAAGACCCATGTTTAATTAGTATGTTAGCTCTGCTAGTAGGGCAATGCCTACAAGAAATATTCATTAAAAGTCCATAATGTTAATCTAGCAGAAAATTTCCAGAGTAACTTTATTAGATTTTGCCTGTTAAGTTAATGGATTTTTAATGGATGTCCTAAGGAGACATATCATTAACCAGAATATTGCCATACATGCATTAAAACTTACCCGTTCATCAAAATTAATTGTGACGTTTCCTTTAATTTTCATTTCTGGTGACTTGAACTTATAGTTTCAGTCTGAACCAAAGTGGGAGATATTAAAGAGGGTGTTGACTCCCAGTGTGACTTGCAGAAACTCCTCTGGAAGTTATCTCCAGACATTCTTGAGCAATTCTTAGAACTATGAGAAGTGAATCTTGGAAGCCTCCCTGTGAAGTGTTAGACATTTCCAGTGGACTCATTGCCTGTCAAGATGTGGTCAATATAGTGCACAACGTTTTTGCAGGTTTGAACAGAGTGTTGTGGATTTGAGCATTAATACAATTACCATAATTTGCTCCATGTGGAGCTTTTAGCCAAGTCTTTACCAGCCTTCCTGGGTTCATGCAGTAAATAAGTGCTTTCCCCGAAAACTGAACACATCAGCAACTGATGGTCTTATGGAGGGATATTTTTGAAATAAATTATTTATGAAGTGTAAGTTAAGGATCAAATGCAATATTTATATGGTACATTTCAAGGACAGGGGAGGAAATTTACAGTGGTTTAAGTAACTGCATGCAAGTTTCCGAAGCTAAAATGTTATTTTCTAATGCCTTCTTTCAAAGGGGTATTTGGATGATTTGGTTTGGGAACATTATACAAAGTAAGGGAAAAAAAATAATTTTGTGCATCACAAGAATATAGCATATATTTCTTTACAACTGAAACTGTACTAGTTGATTTAATTTTCAGAATTGATGGAGAAAACCCAAACTTAGTGTTTTGTAGTATTTTGTAGTGTAGTTTTGTATACGTGTTTATGTACCCGTAGTCCAATAAAATGATCTGTGTCAATAAGTTTTGACCTTCAGCTCCATGTAACTCATTCCCAGGTTACCTATCTAATCCTAAACGTCTATCAAAAGCAAATAGGAAGGAAGAGATCAGCGGGGAGAAAGGACCCTTGGGAAGACACGCTGCATCCCCACCTGTTCTAATCGATTATCCAGGCCCTCTCTCAGCACGTCCCAGTTGCCTTCCACTTCCTGGGAAGAGTGCCTCATTGTGTTATTGGGGTAGGCCACTTTGTGAAAACTCACGTGTGCAACGTGGCTGAATTATAGGGTGATTATCTGCATTACAGAAAGAGCTTTGTGATATAAAAGGGTTCGGTGTGTTAGCTTATAGGTCATTCATTATTTGGGGTCAGGGAAGCCAGGCAAAGAAGAAACTTAAAAAACCAAGTAGGCAGAGTTACTAACTGGTAAGTGAGGGGCAGAAATGAAGACGAAGCATATGTGAAGGAAGGCCGTTCCTTCAGGGGAGGGAGGCTGCATTTTCTCCCTGGTTTTCTCTCCCTCCATGAGACTGTACTTTAGGCATTGGACACTGAGGGCCCCATCATCTGGTGCTTAGTAGATACTGATGAAATATTTGTTGAATGAGTGAATATATGTTTGAATGAAGGATTTGATAAATAAATCCCTTTTTTGCTTCAATTGTCCCTAATATTTAATGGACTCTCCATAAATTCTTTTGAATTAAATGCTACTACTAGATAACAGAGAGACGGTGATTTCATTTCATAAATTCAGTGTTCAGTGTCCTTTTTTCTCTAACATATCTGCCACTTACAAAGGGACTCCTGTGGGAGACACACCCCAACCTGAATGATAACTGCAATCCACCCTCATTCCCGTAGCAAATCTCTGAGAGGCTTTCCATGACATTTTTTTTTTTTTTAAATTTATTTTTCCCCCAAAGCCCCAGTAGATAGTTGTATGTCATAGTTGCACATCCTTCTAGTTGCTGTATGTGGGACGCAGCCTCAGCATGGCCGGAGAAGCGGTGCGTCGGTGTGCACCCGGGATCCGAACCCAGGCCGCCAGCAGCGGAGCGCACGCACTTAACCGCTAAGCCACGGGGCCGGCCCTCGATGACATTTTAAATAGTACAGACTCCTTGGGGCCGGCCCCGTGGCTTAGCAGTTAAGAGCACGCGCTCCGCTACTGGCGGCCCGGGTTCGGATCACGGGCGTGCACGGACGCACCGCTTGTCCGGCCATGCTGAGGCCACATCCCACATACAGCAACTAGAAGGACGTCCAACTATGACATACAACTATCTACTGGGGCCTTGGGGAGAAAAAGGGAAAAAGAGGAGG